TTTCCTCACTCCTTGTTCTTACTATGTCTTTTCCTGCTGTATAATTCTTTTCAAAGCTCTTTATGATGTTATTTTGACAGTATCACCATGGAAGGACTATCATGAAAGCAGTCAGATTTCCCTGAAAAAACTGTGTGCTCAGGACTTTAATCCTTAATATTAACTAAGTATCAAGAGAACACATTACTGTGTTTATATTCAAAAACATTTCAGGGATTTAGAAGGTCTGCTTTATGAATGCAGGCAGAATTTTCATATTCTCCATGGCCCCATAAACCACATATGGTGTACCACCACCTCCCCTACTAGAACCATTCGCACCAGTGTGACACGTTTATCATAAGTCTGGAGCTGACAGTGATATGTCATCCCACTTAAAGTTCATAAGCCATTAGGGTTGAATCAGCGCTGTGCATGCCATGGGTTTTTATAAATACAGACTGACATGCAGCCCCTCTGCGGTGTCCTACAGAATGCTTTCACTTTCTTAAGAATTCTTTCTGCCATGTTTTTAACCTTATCTACTTCCTCGCCCTTGTAAGACTGATCTTTTTACTGTTTCCATATTTTTGCCTTTTCAAGAATGTCAGATAGTTGGAATCACACAATAATGCAGCCTAATACCTATTTAAAGTTCAACCATGGCTTTTCATGGCTTGATAAGTAATTTTATTTGGTGATGAATTAATATTCCAAGGTCTACAGTAACTGTAGTTTATCCATTCACTTTCTGAAGAATTTCCGGATTACTTCCAAATTTTGGCAATTAGTAATAAAATTGCCATTAACACAAGGAGAGAAGTAGATAAAAGCTCCTTTCAATTCCATAACTAGAGTGACCTAGCACCATATTTGGTATGTTTATTCACATTGTTTTCTAGTCTGATGTAAAACTATAACCAAAGATGTGTGATTTAATGTATTGAGAAAAAAGCTTGTTTCTGAAGAATTGCCTGGGTTTCTAAATACTCTTGAAGGCAAAATTTTACTCTCTGTATTTTATATGCATATTCCATAACTTGTTAAATTCATACCGAATATGATCAGTGATGCAATTTGTAATGTAATAAACAGCCTTTTACACTAAAGCTTTTATTGCAATTTTGAGTATACATAAATTTATTGATTCAGAAGTAAAAATGTTTTTAAAGTTCTTGATAGAAATCACATTCATTTGTCAATCTGCATTTCTACTAGGGAAAGTCAAGGGGACCAATTCTACTGATTTTTTAGGCTGGGGTTTAGTTTTATTTACCTCTCCCCTCTCTCATTTTTAAGCTAACAGCTTTATTGGAATATAACTTGCATGTATAAAATTCACCTGATGTAAGTACACATATTAATTTTTTTAGTATCATACACAGATATATTTAAAAATGAGACTATATATGGGCACAACTACTAATTTATAACCATTTAGAACATAGGAGGGTTGCATATTTATATACTTTACCTCCTTTATTTACTAACTTATTTATGAGCACTATAAAATTGCTCTTATTAAAATGAAGACAGCAGAGTATGGTGATGCATGCCTGTAATTTCAGCACTTCTGGAGGCTGGGACAGGGAGATCCCTGAGAGTTCAAGGCTGCCCCTGGGCTACAAAGTGAGTTCAAGGACAGTCTGAACTGCGCAGTGAACCCCTTTTCCAAAAAGACAAAAATAAATAAAATAAATGGAAGACATATTGAGTACCTGTATCAGCAAAGTTAACATTGTAAATATATCAGTTGTGTCTGAATTAATTCATAAATTCATCAGAATGATAACCATAATATTTATATTATAATAAATATTATTAGAATATTGAGCCATGAGGAAATAATTCTAATGTCCATTTTGGAAAGTAAAAAAACAAAAACACTCAAACAAGTATTTAAAAAATAAAACAAAACACTAGTCCTGCCAATAGTGAAGCTTAGCACAGCATAGTTATAATATATTATACTGTATGATATCAAAAATCCAACCTACACCAATGCATGACTTTAATAATGGCAGAAGTAGTTGTCATAGAAACATTACAGTAATACTTTTCATTTGACTCTAATGCTCACACACTTAAGTGTTTGTTTAGAGCTCAGAAAAATTTTTATTATACAGTATTTTTTTCTATTTGATAAAATCAGTGCTATGAATCTGGGATTAAAAATAATTAGTTAACTGTTCTGTTTAGGCATTAGTTTAGAAAATAATAGGTCAAATTGGGTCATCATCAAACTTACAAAACATAGCAAAAGAAAGCTAAAATGGATGGAAAAGTTGCATTTTAAGTAAAACTATTTTATGTCTGATTTGAAACAAATCTCAGATTATAAATATAATACAAATTATGAACAATGTATTTGATTACATAAATATAACTTTTATGTATTAGAGACTTTTAAAAGTGAAAGAAATTTTTCATACCAAGTGTGGAACCTGAGTATGTTTTAAGGACTCAGATACCACTAAAATTGAAAAACAACAAAATCAGTGAGTCTAGTAGAACCCTAAGAAAATAGGCAAAGAAAAGCTCAAGTGGTCCGTCACCCCATAGAAATTAACATGGACCCATCAATACAAATTAACAAAATAATTACAACTTTTCCACATATGTAATTAGTTCTACCTCTTTGATTTTGACAGTAAAGTTAGAAAGATAATGGTAAATTGTTTCTCTCAGGCCCAACTGAGGGGTAAACTGTTTTAATCCTTTGAAAACAAATTTGGTAATAGATTGACTTGCCCTTCTGAAAGCAGGTTTGATACATTCCAAGCACCATCTGTCAGTTAATGAGGAATATTTACTCTCTGCGTGTGCAGAGAGCGTGATTAATGACAGGGATATTCTGTGGCTTGGTCCTGCTGCCATGAAACACCATTTTCCAGTAACAGGGCCCTTCTAATGTTTAAGCTTTTAATTCCATGGTTCCACATATCAGAATAAACTCCGTAAAGAATTAATCACTTTAGAATTATTTGTAACAGCAAATTAATGAGATCAGCTTAACTACTTGATAATGTGGAAAAGTATAAATTCTGATAAATCTGGTACAGCATATTATTCAAACATTAAAATTATATTTGTGAAAAATACTTTAGCACATGGGATTTAATCACTGTTTAATTTAATCCAAATGAATGTGTACAGTCATGTTCCAATGTTGTTGAAAACAGTTCTATTTGTTTGAGTACTGAGATTGAAAAAAAGTAAAGCCAAGATTTTGGAAAGGGTATTTCAGTCCAGTGGGAAGATAAGTGACGTTATTGCAAATTTATTAAAAATTTTTACAGCATATATATGCATAGATATATGCATAGGCGCATATATGCATAGATACATAGGCACAGTATATGCATATATACTCATTATTTTGCCTCTTCCTCATACGAATAAAAATGTAGACTAAGGGAAACGTTAACATGGCTTAGCTCAGACAATCTTCTGAAAATTAAATACACTAAATGAGGGAAGAGGCGAGTGCTTACTGTAAAGCTTGGCACCCGGGAAACACTCCGTAAATCTGTTTTTATTCTTACTCTCTTTAAGCCGTTACAGGTGCCCCTGTTTCAGGAAACCTCCCTGGAACAGGCTGCTCACGTTCTCACTCCATCCCTGTCCTTCCTTCCCAGGTTAGAGTGGGTGGTGGAGCAGATGCAGGTTTTCACCGTGCATCGCGTTCCCTTCTTTCTCCGTTACTTTCTGTGTCTTGCTGTGAGCTCTCCGTGGGGAAGTCAGAGACGTGCATATCTAGAGCTGCTGGCCTACCGTGTATGAAGCACCGTTCATCTGCTGTGAAACAGGGTGTGTTTATCTTCCGGTGTAATGTGATCACTAGCAAGCCCGGCCCCTCTGCCTTTCCTGGGGCAGTCAGGTGGGAGTCACCTGCAGTGGTGCCCCTTGTACCAGGGCCTCGTCTCCAAGCCAGGTCCCCGGCGGGATTCCGGGGGCCCAGCGAGGCTGCACACATGGGATCCCTGGGGTGGCCACAGGGCGCCCAGGCACAGAGCCCAGCCATGAATTTCCATGCTACTTTCAAAATCATGTTCTTAACTTCACTTTTCCTATTTAGTAACATGAAACCCGAAGGATTTTCTTAGAAAAGGGTCATTTTTCTGTGCTGATGAATTTCGAAAAATAAGAATAAGAGAATCACTTTTCTTTATTATACACACACATATTATTGAAATCATAAGCCTTGGAACCTATTTAAAACTTATGATTGGATTGGAAAATTAGACCCTTCCTAATTTGAATCTAATGTAAACTGATTTCTAGTTGTTTTGTATAACTGTGGGCAGCAGATTCTTATTTAATTATGTATTTATGTATGTATTTTTGAATACTGCATGGCAAAACTCAGCAAATATGTCAGACAAAGCACAGTACAAGGAAACACGACAGCATATGTTGACAGTTACAGAAGAATTGCTGCTGTTTTCACCCTTCACACTGGAATAATTTTTTCAATATTTACCTCCCATGTGCGGAGAGGGAAACATATGGATCTTTACACAATTATAAGCACATACAGGTGGCTACTTAGGCACATTTAATTTGCAAGCAACAAAGATACTCAACAACACAACCTGCTCCTCAGACTCCCCACTCTTCCTGCTAACATTCCACTAGAAAATTGGAATCATTAAAATAGAGGGAGGGGACAGTCCTCCCTCAGTTGGTTTCAGGTACCTTTCAAAGTCATGAACACGGTGGCTTCAAAGATACTGAGGCATTTGGTTAATTCTTTTGTTCGTGGAGACTTCAGTAACTGTGCGTCACGTATGCCTACGATGACAAGAAGCACAATAATCGCACTGGAAATGCGAATGCATCTTTTGTTCTTCCTATCCAGTAATCTGCTCCTGGCAGATGTGAAGTCAAGGCGGTTAAAGTCTAAGTGTGTAACAAAGGATGGGGCAGAGAAACTCCCAAAAGTAACGGGAAAAACCTCCCCCAAAGGCAGCCCACTTACAGTCCTCACCTGAAACTTATTTCCGTTTTCAAACACTCAGGAAGAAAGTGTGGAAATTATCATTGCTGGGAAATTTTGCTGCATCTGGACCAGAGACTGAAAGGTGAATTTTAAATGGTTTGTTGTTTTTAAATTGTTCCAGACTGGAATATCCTGTATTTCTTTCTGATACTGAACTTCTAGTGCTCCCAGTTCTCCTGACTCTGTGGTCATCATGCACTAGCTTAAAATCCCAGAGTGAAGAAAACAAGATATTATTAGTTATCATTTTTAATTTTTATTTTTGCTTTTGAGTGGGTGCTTGCCATGCGTTAAGTACTGTGTGAGCATATGACTCATATTAAGTTACTTAATCATCATAACGAATTTACAAGGTAGGAGGTGTAATTTTTCATATTTCACAGGAGAGGATCTTGAAGTCCTGAGGATTTAAGTTTTAATTGACACAAAGAAGAAAGGGCAGGGCCCAGAACTGGATCCTAGGCCAGCAGAAAGGACAATGTCACTCCAGTCTCCTTAGTGGAGGGCTCCCCTTACTCTGAGAATTCCCCTTCTGGAAGTCACCTGGGCCCAGCAGCTGTAAATGTATGGCGTTTTGAAGATCGTCCTCACACAGTTCATCAAGAGGTTTGGGGACACGTTAGAGGTCTGTGGTGTTTCTGCCCAGACTTTAGGCCTCCCCAGTGTCCTCATAACACTGGAAATAGAGTTCCAAAGACTGGGAAGACCCCAGGACCTTTGTTCTCACCAAAGGCGTTCCTCTCCACCATAGGGAGGAACGAAACACATTCTCTTTCCTTGCCCTAGGTCTGCTACTCATTTCCACTGCTTGAGAAAAAGGCTCTCACCATAGACCAGTATATATGGCACATTTATATATTAACTGTAATTGTAACAAACCTGTAGGCATGGATTCAGATTATATTATTGAATATCAAGAGATTAACAAAATTATTAATGTAAATTTTTTCTTAAACATCCCAAACATGTTAGATACTGCAATCAGTCCTTTCAAAGTATTCAGATGTCATTGCACAGGAAATGTTTTTTGTTTTGTTTTTCCCTTGCAAAGATTTAACCAAAGAAGTTAAAAAAAAAACCTGAAAAGCTTTATGATATACTTTTCTACCTCCAGGTAAAATAGCTGTTACAGACTGTTCTGATTCAATTATTAATGTAAAGATATTTTATAGGAAGTCTACAGCCATGCTTTGACTGCCTGCCAAGCATTGAACACACTTTGTCATCTTTGACAGGTCCTCTTCCTTCTCAAATATTCAGCTAAATTTCTGTGCAACATTTTCTTATGCCAAACATTTTAATTGCTTTTTTTTTTGTCTTTGGAAACTTCTATGAAAAACATTGCATCATTCATTTGTCAATGATGTTCAATACTACCATAATTAACTCAGAATTCTGGAGAATATTCTCATAGTCCAGACTTTATTATTATTATTACAATTATTTTATATTCAAAAATTTTACCTTAGAATTTAAAGAGTTTTTACCGATGGAGTGTTTCACATACACCATTTCGATCTGAAACCTCTACAAGAACTAGGTTTGGAATAGTCTTGAAGAAGACATTTTTGGTAAGGTACCAATATATGAACTGACTTGGGAATACAACAAAATGCTATAAGAAATATGTGAAATGAGATATTTAATAAGCAAGGATATAATAACATGGCTGTTATGGAATTTGATGGCAGATCAAAAGACCAAAAGATAGGGGCTGGGGATTTAGCTCAGCGGCATAAGCACCTGCCTTGCAAGCAGGTGGTCGTGAGTTCGATCCCCGGTACCGATAAAAAAGAAAAAGACAAAAAAAAAAAAAAAAAAAAAAAAAAAGACCAAAAGACAGAAGAAGACATTCACAAAAGCAGCCAAGATGCACTTACCTACACAAATGGAGAGAACAGACTTCTGATCAGAACTACATAGCAGTAGGATTTGTTTCCAAACCTTCATTTGCTTCAGTCCTTTAGATGTTTTTAACATGCATCTCAAGTGTTTGTTTGAGATTGTGTTTGAAAAAGTTTGTGTCTATTCATCTTGCCTTTCCTTCTATCTCAAAGGCAAATTTCTTTATAAGAGTGAATATAAATTCATATTTTGACAACTTGAAGTGGTAAAGTTTTGGTCATATTTTGTATTTTAATAGGCAACACTAGAGCTGTCTTATCTCACAATCTGGCTGAAGGAAAGCTTCAAAAAGTCAATTCTCATTTTTGTTTTTGTTGACTGTGTCTGTATTGATATCATTCATAAGACACAGGATTTGCAGGAACTGTGTAAAGCCATTCACCCATTTTGTGATGGTCACTTTATTAAAAACCTGAACTAATGTCTTCTGGAAACCTGCTTATCTGACATAAGTACAGGTGAGACCAGCGCCAGACTTCTTCCTCCCTCTCAGTGAAATCAGTTCCTTAAGTTAGGCTTTAAAAATCATGTGTCCTCCTGCATCCCAAAGGGAGGAAGATCCCCTGCTTAAAAATCATCTCTGATAGCTTCAGTTTATGTCATCTCCTCAAAGGTTCACATCTTTATCCATAAAATATACCTGTTTCTTAAAGAGTTGCCACATATTGCTATTTTTAAAATAAAATTGCATCACATATGTAATGGCAAGGTATGCCAAGAAACTATTATTTGAATAATTCTAATTTTAATTGATATGGAGGATGACAAGAATTAGTAAGGGAAGTTCACCGCAAGATTTCTTATTTTAGATGGAAAAAATAGATTTGGAAGGAACTGGGAAAGCAGGCTAGTGGGGACAAGGGCTGTGTAATCTTCACAAAGATCGCATGCTAGGTAGAAGGTACATTGTTGGGGAATCTAATTTTTTCAGTTATTGTTGGGGGGGGCCATTGGTGAGGAGAAAGAAAAAAAGTAGCACAAACTCTCTGCTGAGCTGAATTCTGCACAGTGAGCCAGAAAATGATTGCTGGCCTTTTCTCACTGGGGCATTTGAGCAAGGCTGATCATGCAAAGAGGCCTAGTTTAGAGAACCAGAATGAACTTGCTCTTGTAAGCAGGTGGCCTTGTAAGTCCTAAGTGCAAGAAGGAGGTAGCCTGGCATGTGTGTGATCCAGTGTTTAGAGGTCAAAGCTCTGATATTGGAGAACCATGGATTTCATCTGTAAAAATTGTGGCCATTTCTGAATTTCTCAGTAACATTATTCATTTTACTGACCTGAAAAGATTATTGTGAAGATAAATGATTTATATGACAAATTGTTACAATTGCAAATTTCTAAACAAATTTCAGTTATTACTTTTTATTAATAATGATTGAAAAGCCTTAAGAACTGATAAAACTGCCTGGCAAGTGTGAGGTCCTGGGTTCAATTCCTGGTACCAAACCAAACCAAACCAAACCAAACAGAAATGGTTAAAAAGTATCAACTCTCAAACAAGTGTACAGGACTCGTAACCATATTACTAAGTTTTTGTTAGATCATTGAGCAAAACTGTTGAATGTCACTTTACATAAACTTTAATTTTGTAACCTGAACAACTATTTCTAAGATTACAATATGTAACTTATTAACTGGTGATTTCTTACCGTTTATTTTTCTATAATTCCGTTTTATTTCTACCTTTTTTTCTCCATGTATTTTTTGTTTCTTTCTCTTTAAATAAAAAAATATCAACTCTTTAAAAATCTAACAATTAAGGAAAAAACTTTAAAAGACTATATCCACTTATTAACCAGGTTTCAATGATTTAATTCATGGCATTTTATTTTGTAAATGACATGTTCTTTATGAACAATTTCTCCTAATTTAAAAATATTAATAAAGTTCATTTTAATAGCTAAATAAAAAAGCGGATTTCTTTTCTTAACATTTTTATAGATATTATGTGTTGGATTACTTTATAATAACCTTTGAGATTATTCAGTTCCTACAATGTATTTTGTTTTCCCTTAGAAAAATAGTATAGCATGTTTTCCTTAGTATTAAATCATTACACTCTATTTTGGTTATTTTTCTTTTATTGCTGAGACAAAATACCCAATGGCCAAAATAAATGAGGGAAAGGTTTATTTAGCTCACAGTTTGTGGAGGTTTAAGTCCCTAATCAGCTATTTTTAAGGCAGGATGATATGGCAGACGGGCAACAGTTCGTAGCAGCAGAAGACAGCAAAAGCAACAAGAGACAAAAGGAGAGGAGAGAGAGAGAGCAAGCCTCTTTCCCTCCCTGATGTTTTCAGGCCACCTGTCCCAGGGTGGTGTAGCACTTACACCCATATTCCCAGCCTTGGATCTCGAAACAATCACAAAATCTAGAAGCCCACCCCCATGACTGCATGAGGCTTTGGGACGGCCATCTAAACATAAACCGTAACACACTGTGAAAAATTTGGAAGGAGGATTGGAAAATTTAGCTGATCAGTCCTGTTGAGTTTTTAACCTATGTTTAATTTCTTTCATTGTGAAAGTGAATTTCCACTATGACATCATGTTTCCCTACTTTGTATGGCGTTGAGTAGCTGTTTATAGGTTGGTACTGTCTGATAATCTGCAATAGTATGTGAAGATACATTAATAAAATATTTCTCCTATATTCTGCCAGTTAGTATGCTAAACTGTTTACTGCATCATTTTCTAAGAGAAAATACACAGGTTCATAGATAACCTTTATCTGCAATAGAGACATCCAATAATATAGCACTGGAAAGAATGATTAACTTAAAATAGTAGTAACTCTGGGTTACAGGTTGTTTCAGCTTCATAATATTTTAGGTCTGTTATTACTTTGGGTAAGTTCAATCCCCCAAGAAGGACAATGCTGAATTAATTCTTCTGTGACTAACATCCTCAGTATAGCTTGGATGGAAATAAAGCTATATACTGCTACTTTTTTGAAATGCTGGGTAACTTTTTTAAACTTATTTTCCCAAAACTGCTGAATTTTCTGTACCCTAATAATAATTATGGGTTTTGAGAAATAAGTCTTCATTCCTGACAGATGAGATCAAACACACATTTGCATGTACACATGTACACATATTTATTTATTGTAAGAAATTGAATAATGCTTTTAGTTGGATTTTCCCTGATATAAGGCATAATAAAATAAGTGCCACAGGCCTGCCTGGCAAGTGAAAGGTCGTGAGTTCAATCCCTGGTTTAAAAAAAAAAAAAAATATATATATATATATATATATATATATACATATATATATATATATATATACATATATATATATATGAAATCCTTTCAAAGTAAACTATCCTTTTCCTTTCTGTCTTCAAGTGTACCATATAGTAGATGCGTGATTTCCAGTTTTCAAAGGTTCTCAGGACTCACTCTGACTAGTTTAACATTACTCACTTTTCCAAAGAGTTAACATCAACAAATAACTAAAATATATTTAAAGCAAGAATAAATATGGAAATAATTCACCAGTAAAGTGTTTTAATACTAATTTTAAATATACATAAATATATTATAATTTTGTTGATAGGTTGCTGCTTATAGATTAATTTAATTGGAATACATTTGTTTAGTAAACTAGTAAGTAATCTTTCCAAGATATGTCATTCCAAAAAGCCCTTTAAATATACTTTCTTAGAGGGCTTTAGTACATAATATTATCATAAATTTACCCTTTCTTTGAGAAATCTACTAGCTAAATTTTCCTTTGTTCTCATTTCCTACGGAATTGGTTAAAATCTATTCAGTAAATAAATTTCTGAAAGTGACACAAAATAGATGTGTCTACAGGAAGAGTAATTTAAACAGGAGAACCATCTAATTGTATTAGGGATTATGCTGATAGTATCAGAGAAAAAATTCAAATAGTGAAATTAATAAAAAAGTGCAATGGTGAAATTTTAAAGGCAAAAATAATAAATGAAAAGGAAAGAATGACAAATCACCCAGAGTACTTTATCCAAAGCAACTATATAACCTAATATTTTTCCAAGGAGTGTTATAAGTACCACAAATATAGACATATATTATGTCATGATTTATTAATGTTTCACCAATAATTTTATAATGAAAAAAGTGTGAAATTTTGCATGTCATACTTTCCTTTTAGAATTGTAATGCATGCAAACTTTCTGAGAAATTTTACATTAATTTAAAATGTGCAGATTTTTTTACCATGGTAAAATGCACATAACGAATTTATCATTTCAAGAATACAATTTATCGATATTTATTGCATTCACAATATTGTATAACAATTATTATTGTCTTTATAACTTTTAAATCATTAATTTGACTATGAATCAGTTTTCTTCTGGAGTACCTCTTGATTGTATTTAAATAATATAATCATGGAAAATTTAATATAATCCAATCTTCTCTCTTTAAAAAATGTTAACCTTTAGAGATTAAATGCTTTCCTTAAGAGTCTTTTGCAAGTAGAGACAGAGTTCATGGCATCTAGATTCCCCTTTTAAAGAACAGACATTTGCATTTAATTATATTTTCTTTTTTCCCCCTTTTTAAAAAAAATTATGTTGCCTGGTTAATGCCATGGTAATCTACAAACAGTATATTGACATTTTGACTAGAAGTCAGGATTAAAACAATTTTCTCTAATCTTGTAAAACTTAATCTTTTATTCCATTTGAAACCTCCACTGTACTTGTTTCATGGTTTAATACTGTGATTTAATACTGTTATGAGAATACTCATTCTAAGATCTCTCTTGATATATGGCATTCTGTTCTTAGGTCTCTTTAAGATCGTGGCTGATAAAACTCCCTACCTTACTATGGAGGAAATTACAAGAACAACCCAGATTGGACCCAGCAGACTAGGGCATCCTTGCTTCTATCATCAGAAGGATGTAAAACTGGAGAATCTCACCATAAAACAGGGTGAACAAATCACGCTCAACTCAATTGAAGACATTAATGGAGAGTTAATGGTGAACTGCGTCATAGTAAGGAACCATCAAAATCACTCATTTACGTTGCCTGTGACACAAGAAGGAGAATTCTATGAATGTGAAGATGAACATATTTACACATTAAAAGAAATAGTTGAATGGAAGATCCCCAAGAATAGAACCCGAACTGTGAAACTTACAGATTTCGCAGATAAGTGGGACTGGACAAACCCATTCCCTAGAGACTTTTACGGTGCTTTGATTCTCAAGCCTATCTATGAAATACAAGGTGTAATGAAATGTGAGTATCCACTGAAAAAGGGGTTCTGTGAACATGGTTATTGTGGGATTGAGGGAAAGGAAGGTTTTGTGCCCAAAGAATGGGATTCTGATATATTCATTAAATTTTCCAGACTTAGATTTTTGATCTATACAAAAGCAAGCTACACATCTCTTGCAAGAATTTATTTGAATAGTAATATGTATATGACTATTAGAAGCTGTTTGGTGTTATCAAACATTTGTAAGGTTCTATAACTGTGAGGTGCAAAAAGATTAAAGTAGCAATCTTTTTATTATTACTTGTTAAACATGGTTAGAAAAGATCTTATTTTTAGACGAGGGAATATTGGGTTATAAAGAGATTTTCTTATGTGCGTGCGGTAAGAAAATGATTCAGGATGCAGCTTTTCTAGTAAATCCTTTTACATTTTTAAAGTTTCTATTCATGCATGTTTGGAGCAGAGATAGCTTGTATTCCTTGTATCGAGTCGGTGTATTTACATAATAGATCTTCATTCCTGTTCTCACCCCTTTCCTTCTCTTCCCTCTATCTCTTAATCCTTTTTGAATTGGAGAAAGATCTGTCTCCCTACTTTCTACTATTTGTTTTTATCTTGCTCTTGGGTTTCTCCTATTAGCGAAACCATGGGATATTTGAGTGTCAGGTTTATTTCATTTAACATCATAGTCTCAGAATGCATGCATTTTCTTATGAATGACTCAAGTTTGTCTCATAGCAGAGCAGTACTCCACTCTGTGCATGTGTGTGTGAGTGTGTGTGTGTGTGTGTGTGTGTGTGTGTGTATGGATAGATAGATAGATAGATAGATAGATAGATAGATAGATAGATAGATAGCATACTTTCTGTATCCATGCATCTGTTGATGGACATACAGCTACTTCCAAGATTTAGCTATTATAAATTGTGCTACTACAAGTATGAATTCTTTCATTGAGTTCTTTTATTTTATAACAACCTTTTTCCTCTCTTACACATTTCTGGTCAAACTCTCACTGACTTAAGGAAAATGATGTCATACATTCATTTTGTGAGTGTGTTTGCTTTAATTTGCAATCTTCATTGAATTTTTCGTATTCCAAATTTGGAATGCTTGGACAGAGCATTGTTACACCAAATGTATTAGTGCTTTGAATTTTCAAGATTATGGCACATAAGTGTGGTAGTTAGGGGAGCAAAGAGCTCAGAACTTGGACCAAAAGTAATAAATTCTAATTTTGGGTCCATAACTTTATAAGTAGTGACTTTGTGTGAGCTGCTTAAACTCTTTTTGTCTATGCAAAGGAGATAATGGTGTATCTTTTGCTTACCTCTTAGAGTTGTTTTCTGAGAGTGAAATAAAGTTTTATTAAGACATCATATATAACCTTGAGAACATGAAGCCATATATAATAAGCAATTATAAATTATCTGGTCCAAAGTCATCTTCTTATATATCTCAAAATCTGTTTTATTCCTGTTTCCATCATTATTGTTGGTTAGTTAACAATTATAAAAAGAAAAACGATGTAAATTTTGGTAGGTTTTAGAATTGTGTGTTAAATCACAATAAAATATTTAATGAGAAATTTGATCAATTCATTTTGAACTTGATTATATAGTAAGTTCCACTCACCATATCCACTCACAATTTTTTTTTGTCTTTTTCATTTTTTATCAGTACCAGGGATCAAACTCACGGCCCTCTGCTTGCAAGGCAGGTGCTTATGCCGCTGAGCTAAATCCCCAACCCCATCCACTCACAATTTTTAATAGTACAAAAATCTTGAGGACATAGCAAATTTTAGACCTCTTATTTGTGTTTTGTTAGGTATTCTAAAATATTCAACTGAAATGATATTTCTCAGTTTTTATAAATAGTAAGTAGTATTTTATTATTTTACAAGCTTTCGGTTTTCTAAAACTATTATCATCTTATACCTATCACATGACTGCAAATGAAAGTATATCCTTGCACACGGGCAAGATGGTTACAGTTTCCAACGAATTTTGATTAAGGATCAAATCTTGAGGGATGAGGAGATAGATGTAAGCATGCAGGACAGGTTGGGAACAGGCCTGGCAGCTTGGGGGTGAGCAAGATTGGAGCTACCCTGCAGCTGATAATGAACACAATGGAAGGGTGGATTGAGGTAAATATGCCAATATTCAAGCGAGGGTGCCATCAACCACAAGGTCTTGACATCTCTTCAAAAAGACTAAAAACTCCCAATCAAAAGAGTAGAGAAGAAGCACAAATGTCATCAGGGTCTGTGGCAGGATATTGGAGGTGTGTACAGCACACACATCAGTGGGAAAGACAGAAGAGCACAGTTGGGCTTGTATTTAACATACCCAATCAGCAGGAATTGGAAGTCTATTGGAAGGAAAATCTAGCCAGCCCTTTCCCAGCCAGCAGGTTGATTGATCAACCTGCTGTATGAAGATGCAAGTTAGTAAAAATAAACATCAAAAGAACAGGTTAAAGTTAAATAGAGGAAATATGATTTGCTGCTAAATCGAGATCCCAGATGACAGCTTCTGGTTGGAATATAAATCCCTAATTTCCATTCTTTATAAAGTTAAATTTTCATTTTCATTTTTCTGGATATTTAAGTTTTTAAGGTTTCTTTTATGTATTTGTCTTTATTGTTGCAAGACCTGGGCACAAATGCTAAGGGAGAGTGGTTCCCAGGGGCACTGACCAGGGGCGGAGGGAGAAATCTTCCCCGAGCTTTTAAAAAGAAAAAAAAAAAATTTAAAAAATGTTCGTGATGTAGACAGTTTTCTTGAACGTATAAATGCATGCTACATTTGAACCAATTGTACTTTAGATTTTTCTTTCTTAAACTGAAGATTCAAGCACACTTTGAAATCAAAGAACATTGGAAGTTTGCTTTCCACGGGCCTCTTGATTCAGGTGTGGTGTAAATTTGCCTTGGCTCGAGTCCTTTCTTTCTAAAGAGACAATAGTAAGAATAAACCTGAGTGGGGATAGGCAGTTTTATAGAAATCGTAAGAGAAGCAAGAGATGAAAATGACTGAAGATTACGGGAAGCTTTGAAATATTGATTTACTCAGAAGATAACATGGCAAAGAAGGGAAACTGACTAAAAGACTGTTTACTCTTATGACTAGTTTTACTGTGTTAGTGACAAGCTAGTTTCTATTTAACAAAGAAACAGAGTCTTTAAATGAAATATTTGTTTCCCAAGTCTTGATCAAATCCCATTATATACCAGAATCCCAATGACCCAAATCACATATTTAGTGATTTTTTAAAAAATTATGCTTCAGGGGTTGGGGATTTAGCTCAGCGGCATAAGCGCCTGCCTTGCAAGCAGGCAGTCGTGAGTTCAATCCCTGATACCGATAAAAAGGAAAAAGACCAAAAAAAAAATTTTTATTCTTCTCTAGAAAATAACAATCCAACACCATTAATAACTTGTCTCATGAGTCATTTCATGATGTGTTTATGCTTTTCATAAGAAAATAAAACTCATATTCCTATAGCAAATGGAATACATAATACTTGCAATTAAAATATATATTCAGCTATTTAAATTTGTTTCATAAAAAAGAGGTCCTGGCCATTAAGGCTTTTTAAGTAGTGCTTAGTTTTTACATGTAGATCAATAATTACTGCTGAAATTTTTGGTACTACATAGGCATTTTCCTTTTCTTTTAGGAGAAAAGCCTCATTTCTGTGCAAAATTTAAGAGTACAATCTTTGCTCAGACATAAAAAATTAACTCATTTTATAAGCAAAGACCTAAAAATCATACAGGTGAATCATACACTCAGGTTATATCCAAATATTATACATTAGGTGATTAAACCCTTGCAGAAAAATAGTGTTCTAAGACTTCTTTTATCTGTTTTTAAAAAAATAATTTTTAAATTTATCAAAACAAAAGCCAAAGAGTAGTGAAATGATTTATTAGCAAAATTGTCTTCAAATCTTGTGCACTTAACCACTCACACATTTTCTCCAGATTGTGCTATGCCAAGGTAAATCTTTTCAATGAGTTCCCCTACTTCCTGGTATTTGTATTCACATTTCCAAATAATAGGTTCAGGCTGTTTTTCAAACCACAGTCTTTGGTAGTAACTGCTGATTTTCCCACATGATCATAAATATGTAATTCTCTTATATTTCTAGTTCTCTCTCCCCAATATATAGTAAGTCACGATTGAGTATTAGCATTTTAATTATTGTGATGATTCACTCCTGAATCAAGAGATGTATAATTGTTTTTCTCTAATGATCTCCTCATAATTTTCTTTGCTGGGATTTCTTCAGTTCCCTCCAACATAGTTGTGAAAAAAAGTCACACACTTCCAGGAGAACATGGCAGACAGATAACAGCAACTACCGGAGGCTCTCTGAAAAACTAGGCTCAGAAGCCAGGTATGGTGCGGACTAAAGAGACATAAGCAGGTGGAGTTATGCTCTGCTGACTCAGGAACGAACTCGGCTGAGAGAAACCAACTTGGAATGCAGTCCTGGTGCTAAAACAGGAACAGAAAAGTCTCGCTGCTGAGGCTGGACCCTGCGCCATTGGAAGCCGCGATTTGGGTTTCCCGCCGCGCGGTGGCTGGCTGCCTCTACATCAGCTCGGCAAGGAGAGAGACGCGCGGAAACTCTGAGAACGGGAGTCTGCGAACGGAGTCGAAAACAGGACGAGCAGGGAGGCATGTTCTGACTTGTGGCGAGGTGAATGAGAGAAACTGACACTCCACCACAGTTTGACTCCAGCGGACTTTCTGGGCCCGAGCAGTCCTGCGGGAGCAGGGCGCGGTGGTGACTCCAGCCACACATTCCCCTCTCGGGCGGGATTGGTGAAAAGTGCCTGGCCTGCGTGACGCTGCCGGCGGACCCCGTAGGCTGGCCCAACCCAGATCCCAGAGCCTGACGGAGGCCGGGAGGGGCGGGCCCCCGCGTAGGCTGCCTGGTGCACAGCGGTGAGTGGGAACACCTAACCGGCGCAATTCGATCAGGCTGTGGCTGACAGGGAGAG